CAAATTCTTCATAAGAATCCTGTTGTTATAAACAATCAATAACAGTTTTAATAGTGAATTTATCTGTTCATGCATAGGGATTCAAACTCATGACCTTGCAACATATTGTAGCATAGGAAACATTATACACTTCACCATTAAAATCCCACTGTTGTCACCTACTGGTGCCACCAACTAGTTGTTCTACAGTATATTATCTTGCAGTGTGGGTAATCACTGACTGCCATTAAACAGCAAATACATTTATTTATTTATTTATTTTTCAATATTTTGAAATGATTTCTTAGTGATATCTCACATCACAGCTGGATTTTAAGGGAAAGTAAAACTATTGAATACCATGAAATTGTCATCATGAAAAGATGTGAGATTTGTAACTGAGGCAGAAACAACTGGTGCATCAAAGTGACTGCCCAGATGGTATGTACACACCCACCCACCCTGGCTAGCACATGAAACGGTGTGAGTTGCCTACTGATGAGACCACCAATCACTGGAGGGGAGGGTGGGCTGGACCACTTTAAATGTCACGTCTGTGCTGCTAATTTCACGATTGTTTGCACTTTTTTGTTGGTGTGATTATAATGTATGCAAATGTAATGCAGAGTTGTTTAAATGAACATCATGTAATATTATTTGATTTGTTTTCCAGGGAAAGCAACTGGGAAGGGCAAGGAGAGTTTGCCACATCACAGGGATGTTCCAGAAAGTTCCAGCTACTGTCTGCCCTGCCAAGAAGGCTGTGCTTTCTGCAAGGACGACGCGCCCTGCGTGGCCCGGGGTGAAGGTGCCCTGCGTATGGCAGTGCTCTCCTTTCAGGGCTTGTGCATGCTGGTGGATTTCATCAGTATGGTACTGCTCTACCATTTCCGCAGGAACAAGGTGAGCGTCTGCTGCCGGAGGGAGCTAATTAAGATGGCAATTGTTTCAGTGAAGCACATCCTGTTCTTATTGACACCGGGGTGTTTCCATGCTGAGTTATATTACAATTAGTCACTCGTACGCCGAGTGTTAGGTAGTGACATTTTATTCCCTGTTAAATTAGAAAGCAGATGGTTTTGAGATACATTAGAGTTGCAAGTGTAATCTATATTGTGCAAACCAGGTTTATTGGAAATACATGCTTGTGGCTACATTTCAGCAAAATTATTTTTCATTGCTTCTTGCACGCTTTGCGACACATTCAAAGTGAAAGGTCCACTGAGTGGCACCAAAAGCGTTTTAAAATGTATCCAAAAGAAATGAAATATTCGGTGAATGGTGCTAAAAACTTCACTGTGTTTGAAAATAATGTTCCACCTATACGATACCTAATCGATAGTAATTAACAAAAACAAGTTTAGTTTCAAATCAAATGAAATCACTAGCAAAAGCTTTTTTTTCTTTCGTTAGGATATCATATTGTGCAAGGAACCACATGAAAACAAGTCTTACTTAATTGATAATATGCCTTTGTAATCAAATTTTTTTGTGAAAAGGGATAAAAATTGTTGGCATTTTACTTCCTCTAGTGTTCATTTCAGATGTAAACCGCAGTGAATTGTACATACAGTATAGGTACGTTTTTGGAGATTTGCAAAAATGCAGTTAGAGGCACATATTTCCAGTGAGCCTGGGTTTTCATCATGTTTCAATATCTTTGTTTCCATCTGTCAACTCTGCTCTGTTGAATGTGTAATTAAATTCAACAATTGCAAAAGTACAATATACTAATCACTGCAGGTTGTCACTTTGCACTTTGATTTTACTTCAAAATGTTAGGCAGCATGCCAAGGAGATAAGAAATGGTATATTTTAAGCTTATATGAGTTAATTAAGGAGATATTTAGAGCAGAAACAGGCTGAGACTCAAACAAGGTTGATAAAGGACAGAGAGAATGGAGTTTCCGGGAGACTAAATGAATGGATTGCACCATTAGAGGGAAAGAGACAAAAACTGCAGAGGAATTACAGAGGAAGGAAAAAGAGGTGTTATTTGCTGCAAACTATTACTTTAGGAAAGGAAAGGGAGATCTATCTGTGTCTAGCTGTTCTTCACAGATAGATCTTATTCATCTACAGTGTCATGGTGTTTTCCATTGTATCATATGTAAGGGGTATGCCAATCACTTCTCAAGCTTTAGTTTAGCTCAAACGGACTTGCTTGACACATAAGAAAGAACCTCATTGGTTCTCGCATGTCAAGCAAGCACCGAATTTCAATTTTGGGTTAATTGAACTTTTAAGATTTGTAACATTTTATTCCTAATTTTGTTTTATTTTTAGCTGTCACTTATGGCAAATGCCAGCTTGATTCAGTTCAACTTGTAGTTTAACATTGACTTTCTCTTCAATGATGTCAGTTAATATCATGTCCAAACTCGTGATTGTCTCTCTGTTAATTATAGGTTCATTAGGATTTTTTTTTTCTCAGGAGGAGTCTGTACAGATTAAAAATCCGGACAGCTACTTACTATAATTAGGACATTATTAATGTATATAGAGAGTATTTCAGAAACGTATGCCACACATGTCTCAGCTTGAGCAGACATGCAGACTGTGGCCTGAGTAATAGTAGACTGGATTCACACTGACTGCGAGGAAGGTTCATTAATACCTGCAGTGAGGCGCCGTTTAGGCTGTCGATATGTAGGGCACTCAGTTTTGATAGTGCCAGCATTTTAATTTACTCTGGAAGCATGCTCCGTCTGGGCGCTGCCTGAAAGCGATCCATAAATGCTGGAGAAGTCTAAATGAAAGCGACAGAGTTAGGATTAGAAATTTTGTTCTGTTTCAGCTCACGCTGTCAAGTGCTTTCTATTGGCCGTTTGATTTCAGAAAGCATTTGACAGCTCACCTGTTGCCTCTTAATAGAATTCTCATTTTCTCTGCTTTAAAGGAGACATACCTGAGCCAGCTGCCCAAATGACATATACAAGCCACAGTGCCACACACAGAGAAAAAATAATAATAAATTAGGCTAATTACTAAAAAAAAAAAAATGGACACCTGTGGGTAATGTGACCACTTTTCACATTTGAGTTTTCCTCCCCTGAGATAGCATTTATCAATTACACCGGACGATAGAGGGTTAAAACATCAATATTGTAACTTATTTGTAACATTTGAACTTTTAGTTTAGTGCAGTATTCACTGTAATTTTTGTCATTGCGACATTTTAGTGCAACCTTCACTAACAACTGCAGTTGACCACTCGGCAAACAAATCAGACAGGAGAGTAGATTAACATCGGTGGACCTAAACTGGAACGATATTGTGTATTGCCATCTTTCCGTGGTTGAAATAAAATAAGTTCTGATGTTCATTCATGTACATTTCATGCTTTGAAATGACGATCGGTTCACGTGTGCCGCTTGAACTGAGGCAATACAGTGATTGGTCAATTGACCCTTCACAAAAACCCGCCCTCCTTAGTTACTGTTGTTATGTTCGGCAAGCCATGCCTCTCTCACACTACACACTATGTTCTCACGCAGTAAAAAATACATCACGGAGCAAAGAGGAAACTGACAAAACTCCGACAGACAAGACAGTAGGGTTGGGCCGATAGACGATGCCATCGTCCATCGCCTATGGCTGATAAACATCACGATGTTGAGCCGGCATCGTGATCCCCCCCCAATTCCCCCTGCATCCCAATACCGTGTTCGGAAAGAAAATGACATGTAGGCAGAACCCCTAAAGGGAATAAATACGAGATGGGAGGAAAATATATATTTCAATATTTTCCTCGCGGTTATATAATTGGGTAATTATACTACATATATATGTCGGCATCAGGGAGCTGCTATTATACCTGGCATTGAAACTGGCATCGTGCTTTTGAATGCATGATCACTTTTAGTTTCACTTTCACTTTCAAGATTCGCGATCGCATGTACTCTGTTTATACTATGGAGCGGGAGTACTTGCCACACATTTTACAAGATTATATGTTTGTCAGTGGTACTGAAGATCTGCAAATCATTTGCCATCATCCTCAGTCATATCTCCTTACTCTGTTTATGTGGTAAGTGAAATTTTATGTACTGTAATGTAACAGGCAACCGTTACACCGTGTCTACACCGGACGCGACAGTTATCATGTCGCGCCGTGCCGCATCAGCTAAAGTCTGTCTACACTGGACGCGACAAAGCGACCGTTGAAAATAATTTGAAATCTGTGTCAGCACGTCATAAATAGAATGTGGCAGCAGTTTACTGTCGGGGATTTGTCGTGTCGCGCCGCATCCAGTGTAGACAGCATCACTGATTATAATGAGTTCTATAGACTGATCTATATATAATAAATCTCTATTATAGATCAGTGGTTCTATAGTATTTTGTCGTGCCGCGCCGCTCACGTCCAGTGTAGACACGGTGTTAGGAATCGTGTTTTCCCTTATAAGGAAGGATTCACGCTTCGGGCACACCCCCTAACTCTTCGCCCACACCCCTCCCCCCGCTCGCCCCCGCCGATGTCATTGTCCATCGTGATGTTTCACTGTAGACATCGTCCGATGCCAATTTTGTAGGCATCGCCCAACCCTACAAGACACGCGTGAACCAATTGTCTTTCCATATTTACGTAAAGCACGAAGTAAACAGGAATGAACATCATAACGTATTTTATTTCAACCACGTCAATACACACAATTTTTCAAGTTTAAGTCCACCGAAGTGAATCTACTCTCCTGACTGATCTGTTTGTCGGGCAAGATGGCGGATTTGGCGTTATGATTGCCTGTCAATCATATGTGGATTAAAATTAAATCAAGTTAATGTTGAGCGAATGTTAACAGAGCAGGTTTGTTCTAGGGCAAGGCATCAGTCTGAAAAGAACAAAGATGAATCAACTCCTATGAACACATTAGAATAGTCCTAGGAGAATGCATTTGTGCACAAAGGGATAAGTTATGCAGTAGTCACAAATGAATGGCTTTCCACTGACCCATTTCTAGCAAGAGAATAGTTTAAAGAGAGAGGTTTTCCAATGTGATGTTGTTTTTGATGTGTTTCAGAGTATCAGAGCATCAGGACTCATCCTGTTAGAGGCCATCTTGTTTGGAGCGCTCCTCCTGTACTTTCCGGTAAGCTTTCATGACCACAGTCATTTTTATTACGTACTTTATTACTTTAGGGGTGTTACAATTAATGGCACTTTGGTGACTAATATCCTTAGACTTGTAGTGCAATGTAATATTGCCATTAGATGGAGAATGTCTTTTTAATGGCACTAATTTAAAGAGCATTAAAGAAATGCTCTGGGATCATTTTGAGTTTAGCTCTATGGACTCCTGTCATGATCATTTAATGCTGTTAAATCTGGTAATTTATGCATGATATGTGTAAGAATAAGAAGGGACTTTTTACATGGAGAAAAGTCAGTCTACAGGATTTACATCAATGCTGCATTCACTGATGTTACGGATTTTTGTTAGAGCTCAGCTTGTTGATCCAGGAACATAAAATACAGCAAAAGTCACATTTACAAAGGCATTGGCATTATAGAATGATACAGATGTTGGCATTGCACATGGAGCAAAATATGCACTGAAGCAATGTAGGATAAAATAAGGGCTGAGATATTTCATTGATGGACAGTCTCTGCTGTCCATGTGTCAATGGAGTATTGATTTAGACAGATGTCGTCGGTTGCTTTGTTCAGCAAAGCCTTTTGGCTCACAGTAATTGCAGTTTAGTGGCATTCACAGGAAGCTGTGGGCTTGTCTTAACATGGAAGTGTAAATGTAATTAAAGTGAAGTGATTTAGAGGTTTGTAATTAAAGCAATTATCACATACAAGGTCCTGGAAAGTAATAATCTTTGAGATGATGTTGGAATGATGGTGGAGGAGCATTTTAGCCATTTAATCGCTCTTTGTGTGACCGTAATTCCCGTTGCATAGAAAACAAATGCCTTTATCTGTTTGTTTGTTTTACCTTTAGAAAAGTACCAGTTTATGATTTTTTTTATCATATGATTTTGGCCACTTGCAAATGTGTTTCTAAATCTGATATGTATCTCATATCTGACTTCTTGGGTGATTAGGTTTAGTAAGGTTAGTTATTCAAAAATACATAAAAAATTTAATTCATACAGACAGTGACTTGAATACACATTTGATATGATGAACATTTTTTAAATTCTAAATTAACATTCTTTTTTTTTTCCTTGGGTAGAGTAAAAAAAAAGTCCAGATAGTGTGTAACTGTTTAATTTTTAATGGATTTCTTGAACACAAAAAAGGTGTTATATTAGTATCATCAGTATTCAATTTCATTTTAATTTTAATTAAAGTTTTAGTCATTTTTATGAGTTATTGTTTTTATGTTTATATAGTTTTTATTCATTTATAATTTCCATTTTAATTGTTTTAATACATCAAGTTAAACAAAACATTAAACTAGCGGGAATAAAATAATATAAAAATTATATATATAATAATAAATAAATCAATCAATAATAAATAAATAAAAGTTTTTTTGAACATAATAACATTTATTTAAGTAAGGACTTTTTTTTTTGTCCAGAGAATCAAATATGTTTGTTTTTTTTTACCTTAAAAATAAGTTTGAGTGTTTAAAATATTGTAAAATATTTTATTATCATTTACTTGCAATCAGTCTTGATTCAAGTGTCATACAGATATGCACACATTCTGCCATCCACACAAACTGGTAGTAATTACACGTTACTAACTTCTCTGCCCTTAAAAGCAACTGTGTTTGTTATCACATTAACCAATCACAATTAACTATTTTAACTGACTCATGGCTCTAGTTTAAAGTGAATATTATCAGACAGCAGAAAATATCAGCTAGGTGTCAAAATATTAGATCTGTACATTAGGTTTAGCAGTTTACATGCAGCCTATGAGAATGTGTTTGTGCTTTTAGAGCTGCCGTTTCCCTCTGATTCAGTTTGTGGTTTAATCTGAAGCTCAGAGACAGATAGATCTGCCCGCTCACGGCCCACCGTGTAGCTCATCTGAAGCAGATAGAAGCTCCGCCTGTCTGTTCTGCTGTGATTGCTCCCAATCTAAATATAGACTGGAAAATATTCTCCACTCCTTCTCCCCCTCTTCTACTTTAAATAATTCTAGTGTTATCAAGAAGCAGAGATGTATCTCATCTTGTTCCCCTGGCATTCTGCTTTGTGGAGTAATGCAATTTTTTCAGCTCGCACCCCTCTCCTACTGCTGAGCGTGTCACATGCAATAACTTCACTCTACGGCGTCTGGAATAAAGCAGGGGATGTGGAGCGAGAGAGAGGGGAAACCGAATTACATGTGCACACACACACACACACAGACACACACACATGCTTTTCTGGCTGCTTGTTCATCCCTGGCCATGCAAAACTAACGGGGTACCTGTGTTGGTGAATTTTGAACCATCCACAGATTCTCTTTATACTCCATATCTGATGCTTGTCATTTTCTAAGTCACATTAGCTGTCAATGCCTGACAGCTTCATCTTCTGGTAACTTCTCAGGTTTTACATTGTGTAACGTGTAACAAGGACACATTAACTCTTTTCCTGCCAGAGTTTTGTTTTTAAGTTGCCAGCTTACAGTGTGTTAATTTCAACATTTACTTTTACTTGTACATTTTAAAATTTTAAAGTTTCTTCTGTTAACATTAGTTAATAAACTATGAACTAACTTTAATGGTCAATATAATAATTTATATTTTTTATTCATTTACAAAGTATGGTTCAGTTCTTTTTTTTTGTTTTTAAAAAAGTTTTCGTTCAGTATCCATTAAAAAAACTATTGGTTGATTAGATTAGATTAGATTCAACTTTATTGTCATTGCACATGTAAGGTACAAGGCAACGAAATGCAGTTAGCATCTAACCAGAAGTGCAATAAGCAGTAAGTACAGGATATACAGTGTCTACAATATGTTACAAATGTACAATAAATATACAGATAAGGCAGTACTATGGACATAATTTACAGATTTTTAAATACTATCAGCATGATATACAGATAGGTATACTATGAACATACTATACATATGGATTATGTAATAAGTGTATGTACACTATAAGCAGAAACTATGAACATATGAACATCATTTACAAATGAATATGTAAGCGATACATTAAGCTGTACAAAACACTAGTGCAATGGAAATTTTAAAAAGTGCATAGAAAATATTGCAGTGTGCAAATGGATCATTCAGTATTCTGGATGAACAGACAGTGCCTTTGTTTACGATCACGACGCCGCCTGGGAGCACTTCCGCCCGGCCGGGTAGAGTGCGTAGTCTCGGGTGGTCTGGAGATCTCAGGGATGAGTCGAGGATTGGTGATAAAACTGTTGGAAACGTGCACACCAATATCCAAAAGCTCCTGTTGGGTGTAAGATGTTAAAGCAAAGTTGTTCAGTGCGAACAGGCCCGAGATGAGCAGGAAAAATACTACAAAATTGCAAAAACTGGAGAGACGCTGAGCCTCGCGATGTGTACGCGCCGCCATCTTGGTCATGTAATTAATCGGTATTGGCCATTGTGGTCCAACCTAGCTATCTTTATCGGTAAAATCCGCTATCGGTTGACCTCTAATTGGCAGTTTACGATATTTTGATTCAGATGCTGTTGAATTTTTGGTGATCATGATCATGATCCTTCTGGTTTACACAGATCATCTCCTTCACGTGTATTTCAGAAGATTTGTTCAGAACAGCGCCCCCTAGCAGTGAAAACACAGATTGCTGGAATAACTCGTCAATGGCAGGGAAGCGTTGTGTCATAAATGTTGAAAAATCTTGTCAATGCCAGGGAAAGAGATCAAATACAGACAGTTACCAGAAAATCTGTTTTCAACATTCAGAAGAGTTTATTAGACACAAAATACTGTGTTAGCTCAAATAAATAAATAAATTAATTAATTAATTAATTAACGCAACAGTTTGCATCCTTTTTTTTGTGTGTGTGATTTATGACAACTTCTAATGAAATTGTGTTCAACCAACAAACTACATTGAGTTAGAAGTACTTAATAATTTGTAACCTAAACACATATTTTTAAGTTGCTCAAGGTATTTGTGGGCCTGGAACCGATTTATAGTATCTTTTTTCAGTTCGAATCCACAGCTATCATAGCACATGCTAAATTTAACTTATTTAAGCATGTATATGTAATGAACAAGTACAATTGTACTTGTCTCTAGCATTAGCATAAACTCTTTAAAATGTCAAACATAACAGCATTAAACACTAACAGGACTTTCCCTCTTACTGAAAGACACATACAATTACACTTAGAAATTTGTGTTGAAATTACGCACAATATGAAGTTGCAATGTAGTGATCAACATTATTATGTCAACTGAACTCAACAAAATAATGTTTAAAAGGTTTAATGGAATTATTAAATTAGAAATTTTTAATTGCAACCATGCATTTATTTAAGGTGTGGCAACAGGTCATTTTTAGAGTGTATTCATTAACAATTTTTCGCAGAGCTACATGATCCCATTAGAATATTTTTTAAAACGTTTCTGATTACTGTGGGCCAAAATGATGGTATTCCATAATTAGCATAGTTGCATTATTTAGCCAGAAATTGAGAACTACTGGAAACTGGGTCTTAGCTGCAGGACAGTTTATTTGGAAAAAGAGCTGTGAATAGATTCTTCAAAAATTCTCATTTTGTGTTCCACTGAAAACAACAACATACTGGTTTGTAATGGAATGAGGATGAGTAAATAATGAAAGAATGTTAGTTTTTGGGGTAATCTACTCCTGTAATACTTGCTATCCTAAAATCCTGGCGGGAGCTACTGGAGGTCTCCCCATTTTCAAGCATCTCTCTCATTTATCTCCATTGGGATGTGATTCTTCCCTTGTGCCTCAAGTCCCTCATACGATTTACACACATTCCCTCCATTCTGAGAATTTCCACCCTCCATCAATCTGTGTTGAGAGTGTGAATCCCTCATAGGTACAGTCTTCACCTTAGGCCCTCTTTCTTTTCCACCAGCAGTCTCTACCTTTTATTCCTCCTCCCTCTCCAGTTGTCCACTTCTTTCACCTCCTTGTTCAAATGGCCTGCTGCCATCCTGACACTGGAGCCCAGC